ATCTTCAAAACAACTTAATAAAGCAAAATTGAACACAGAAACTGTAAGAATGGGGTGACATCAGCTAAATTGGGATCCATCAGTCATAGACACGGTAAATTGCACAGGAAGTTCTCAAACAAAACGTAATTGGAGGTTGGAAAAACATTCAGGAGAATATCATGTGCTTGTCCTATTTGTTCATGTACACTTGCAGACAAGTTTCTAGTTTAAGCTGACAGACATCTGACCTAGCATGGTTACTCACATTGAAGTTGTACAGATAGTGAAGAGTTACATCCCCTGAGAGAGCATGGTTGTAGTTGTAATCCACTTAAGAGCTTAGCTACTTTTATTCCCCCAGCTTTTTTCCCTTCTTACATCTTACCCACAGCAATGCAGCCTTAGCTTGGAAGGGGACATGATACCAATGGATCTTTTTTATCAGTGATGCCCAGCCAAGGTGGTTGGATGAAGCCAGGTCCAAAAAGCTTGTGAATGGGATGGATTAATGATGTAAATGGATATAAAAAGTTTCCACTCATTTCACTTAATAAACCTATAGATTTCTTCAAAGCATTTATTGTGATCTGTTTTTGGGTTTGATTCTATGAATGCCTCTGTGTGTTCTCTTAAAGGATATGGAGCTACACTTGAATAAGACCAGAGTATGAAGGGTTCTTTAGCTGAATTTGATGACTTGCAAACAAATTCTAGTTCTAGCTTGCCACATCTGCACATCTACATAGTTGTTTCTTTCTGCAGTCTTGTAAAAAAAACTGAGCTGACAGCAAGACATGCTGTTTTTTCACTTCTTGCTTCGGTTTGCTTAATACACAGCCAGATTTTTATCATCTTGCCAGTAAGCACCTTGCAGCTAATAGAAGAGTAAGGCTCCCCAGGTTTCTTCCTTGTGTGTTTAGAGAGCACCGCATTTGATTTATAATGGAAGTTAAGAGAGTTGGGGGGCTTTCAAGGTAAGGTTGCTGGCAGTGACAATATAGAGAATAACAAGCTAACTGGATCTGTGCCTTGCACAGTATGCTGCAGGTTACTGATGCCTCTGTCAAGAAGCAAGGTTACTCAGTCTAGGCTGCTCCAGCTAAGTTGCTGTCATTGGTGTCTGAGCTTGGCTAGCAGTGATACACGAGCTGGCTTCATGCTGCACTTCATTCACCTGCCAATGAAGTCTTACTGTGCCATTTTTTTATTGTAAGGTAGGTAAATTTATCCAGCAAGCAATGCTGCAACTAATTCCTCATCCCCCTTAAGCAGCCGGCAAGCAGCTGCAATTGAATAACAGTGATACCACCTGGCTGTTGGATTAGTTGAGGTAGTTCACCAAGGTCATAAATGACAAAAAAAACAGACCCCAGTTATTCTTTGTTACAATGCAAAGTCTTGCAGACAGAAAGGGAAAATCTGCTTTTATTTCCCTTGGCCATTAATATTTGCTTACATGCCTACAGTTTGTCATACCCCCCATCACTCTGCGTAGATTCTCAGTGGTTAAAGACTGACCATCCCCAGACATGGCAGTCTTGCAGACATGGCAATCAGAAACAAGGACGTTGTAAGCAGGCTGTGCATAAGGACTGAGTCACTGAGTACCTGGAAACTGACTGGCCTGCTCCCCTCAGACCTCTGCCTGGTTCTCTTCACCGTCCGTTTCTGCTTTTGAGCTTCATGGAGCCCTGTGCAAATGCATTCTGGTGCAGGGGTTTGCAACTAAGTCACTGCAGTCGACAGATGTCAGTGAAGAACAAATGCTGCGTTCCTTCTGGCCGGCAGAGCTTGCTGGATGGACGGCTGCAGAGCCCATGCTGGAGCAGACACCTGTCAAGCACTCAGGGGCTGCAAGCGGTTTCCAAGAAGGCTATTTCTCCACTCAGCGCTGGCCTGTGGAACCAGTAAGCCTTCAAAAGAGGCACGGCAGTGTAATTCGTGACTCCGCGCTTTCCCGTCGCTGTGGCTTTCCCTCGAGCAGCTGTCGGTGCTCTCCGGGCCACAAGGTGTCGCCGCTCCCCCATGCTCCGCCTGTTCCCAGCGACCCCAAGCACAGACTGCCCAGTCACTGTGCCCTGTTATGGCCTGTCCGCTGGGGCAGGCAGGGCTGGGGAAACAAATGGGGACTGTCTTCTGCCAAAGCCGCTAGGAAAGTTACTGCTGAATTATCTCTCGTAGTGGTTGGTTGCATCAAGAAAGAAAGCTGTCTGTGGTCACCTGCGAGGCTGGAACTGGTGGGAAGGATGTGGCTGTGAACAGTCCTTTCCTCCCTCTCTGAGTGTCTTCTTTCAGCAGCAACCTTCATCCCCACGCTTGGCCTTTTCTTTAAGGCTTGATTCCCTCCCTTCTTATCCCCAGTAGTCTTCACAGCTAGAGTGTCCTTGGCTCTTTGTGATTTGTGTCTGAATCTTTTCTCTCATCTATCTGTTGATTGTGAGGAAAATCCCATGGAAATTCCTTGTTGTCCACCACGTTTACTTTTCTAGATGACAAACGGGTACAAATACACTGTTTGACCCTCTGAGCATCTCTGCCTTGTCTAAACCCAGTGCATGTACCCACTGAGCGCAAGGGCCTTCACCTGGGTCAGGGCAATCCCAAGCACAGATACAGTTTGGGCTGGAGACTTGCATCTGGAGAGGAATAATTGCAGGCACCAATACAGGTTGGGGGATGAGCTGCTGGAGAGGAGCTCTGTGGAGAGGGACCTGGACGTCCTGGTGGACGACAGGTTGGCCATGAGCCAGCAGTGTGCCCTTGTGGCCAAAAAGGCCAGTGGCATCCTGGGGTGCATTAAAAAGAGCGTGGCCAGCAGGTCGAGGGAGGTGATCCTCCCCCTCTACTCTGCCCTGGTAAGGCCTCATCTGGAGTACTGCGTCCAGTTCTGGGCTCTCCATACCAAAAAGACAGGGATCTCTTGGAAAGAGTCCAGTGGAGGGCAACAAAGATGGTGAAAGGCCTGGAGCATCTCTCCTATGAAGAAAGGCTAAGTGAAATGGGTCTGTTTAGCCTTGAGAAAAGAAGACTGAGAGGGGACCTGATCCAGGTCTATAAATATCTGAGGTGTGGGGGGCAGAATGGCGAGGCCGGACTGTTTTCAGCAATGCGTGGAGGCAGGACAAAGGGGAACAACCAGAAAGTGCAGCATAGGAAGTTCCGCACAAACATGCGCAAGAACTTCTTTACAGTGAGGTGATGGAGCACTGGAACAGGCTGCCCAGGGAGGCTGTGGAGTTTCCTTCACTGGAGGTATTCAAGACCCACCTGGATGCCTACCTGTGTGACCTGCTGTAGGGAACCTGCTTTGGCAGGGGGGTTGGACTCGATGATCTCTGGAGGTCCCTTCCAACCCCTACGATTCTGTGATTCTGTGATAATGATTTCCCTTCAGCCAGTTCAGGGCTGTATGCTTTAGCCCTCTCTCTAATCCAGATGTCATGTCCACTCTGTCCCTTTCTGGACAGTATGATATTGTGAGCACGTACATGGATGCTATGTAAAGCTGTATAAATCAGTGTGCCTCCTACTGCCTCATTCTGCCAGCCCAAATCAAAAGCCTTCCTTCACTTCTCTGTTGCTTTCCTTCCCTTCAGTTAACTGTGTGAGTTGATGTTTGGATTTCTTTATTTCTCCTTTTCAAGTAGATCTTGAATTCAGATGGGGGAAAGGCTTCTGTGGGCCTTTGTCTTTGTCTCAGAAGTCCTACCAACATTGTTATTCTCTTTCCTCAAATGCTGTGTGACCTTTAGAATCATTGCCGTACTCAGTTAATAAACACATCTACATTAGCTGATCTCTTTCCATTTATTAATAGTGGAAGAAGGACACCTGAAAGGCATCCAAGGATAATAATTGTTCATGACATTTCAAAAAGAGAGAGATTTTAGTATCAGAGAAGCAAAGCAGCACAAACAAGCTTCTGGTTTCCAAATGTGTGGTTAGCATAAAACAGAGCTCAGAGCAGCATCTGCCTTGAATTGGGTTGAACTCATATATGGAAATGGAGTGTTGCTAAATAGGCTTACCTCTCACTTATGTCCTCAGCATGTAACTACCTGTATCATTCATGCAGATGCACACCAGTCAGTATTGATGTTACCTTCTGCGAACAAGGTGTGAATTGAAAGAGCTGTGTGTCTAGAGAAAGCGTGAATTGTTCACTGTTAATAAGGTCTTACCACAACTTTTCAGAAACAGCTCATCCAAAGGAAAGCACAGAGGAATCGGAGCAAAGTAACAGTGCTTGTCTGCACGAGTTTCTTTTCAGACAGTTTTTGCTGGGAATTATGTAGTTGGTGAGATCTGGTTAGGGAGCAGAGTACTTAATGCTAGCCTGCAAAGCAAATTGAAGGTGCAGACAGAAACCACATCACTCAGTAAATTAGAAGAAATGTCTTCACGCTGTTCCCAGAACAGTCCTTAGATGTGAACACAGACAGCTGATTCTTAAAATACCTGTCTTATCGGGGCTGGGTAAACATGTCTTGTTTGCTTTAAAGTGACTCCATATACTGCTCTGTTTGCCACAGTGAAACTACTGTATTCTACTGAACAAGGGCTGTGAAATAAAATGGTTTCATCAAAACACTGGAAATAGGCATTTTTCAGGAAGAAAGCTGAGTGAAAAAACATACAATGCTGAAATCTGCATGGATTTATATTAGTTTCATTTAAAATACAGATATTATACAATATCTAACAGAGAAATAAGTTACAACAGAGAAGCATATACTGTTACAAAAAACAACAAGCAAATCAAACAAAACAAACCAAAATTTTATACACAAACTTAACTGCAAATCTTCAAATGTACTGCTACATTTTTCAGTTCTAGCATCAGTAACAAAGTCTGATAAAATAGGCACTTTCCAAATCACAGTAGATGAGAAAGGGGTTCAGTCTAGGGTTACATAATCATTTTTTATGATGTCTTTTTAGACATACAGATTATTACAGGATTTTTTTCTTAATATTTAGGTAAAATTTTTAAACCTGATCCAAGAAGTCCATTTGTATACACCTAGAGCAAAAAATAAATAAATGTTGAAGTAGATCTAGTTGTAAAAAAAAAATGGGTCTGACACCTGGCTATAAAACCATGTAGATATGTCCTCCGATTGAGTTCAGTTCCAGCATTGTGCCAGAATTTTCCTGTCCCCAAATCTCTATTTTACAAGCCTTCTTCACATTTCTATTGTTTGACTATGTGAAAAGTAAGGCTGATAGGTAAGATAAATGTATGTAAACAAGGTAAATGAACGTGGTCAGTGCTTCTTCCACCTTCATGGAATCAGTTCCAAGAGCAGCTGTTTTTCTTTGAACTTCTTTTAGCTCTCATCCAGATTTTCCCAAAATTTCTCTATCTGCATTTTTGGTTAAGTATTGTTCTTCTATGAATTTAGAATTCATAGGTGAGATGTTTTGCCATTTTGCTGAGTTTCATTTTCTCACTGAATACTTCATCAAACTGTAAGTTCTGTTTTGGAGTGAAATGGTTCTTCCAGTCACCAACAGTACCTGGAGGAGCAGAGACAGTAAAAGAACAGTGAATCTGGCAATATATAGCAATGAAACAAATCAAAGGCAGACCAGTTTTATTAATGCTGCACTTGGCACAAATTGTTATTGTATTATCAACCATAGTCTCTGTGATATGTCGTGATAGGTCATGATTATGAGTAATTATTTTATTGATTTGGTGAGACTTTGATGGGAGAAGCTGAATCATCATCCATATTAAGCCCTAAGGCTTGTTTCTCATAATGTGTCACCTGGCAGTGCCAGCAATACTAAGAGAAACAATGAAGAGTAGCAGGTTTTAAGGATGGAAATAGAGCTCTTGCTCATCTCAGCAGAGGCATCTTGCCTCATCTTAGATGTTTGCTGTTAAAAATCTCTATCTGGACTTCTTTAGTAGAGGCAAATAGTTGCTAGCTGAAATTCATCTCACCCTTGTCAGCATATAAAACCCCCAGTAGCAAGAAAACAGTTCCTCTGCATGTTTTTTAAGTCACATATGAGCTGCGAACTGCTGAAGGTTTTACTGCAGATCCCAGTTTGGCCAAGAGCTTAAGGTGATCTGTGAGGTCACAGGATGATTTGAGTCATTCATTCTTTTGTTATCATTGTCAGCATGTTTCTTTTTGGGGGGAACATTTCAGTAAGATAACAGGGAGTACAGAGGATAAAGGCTGCCAGCAGACTCCTTCCTAAGAAATGCACCTTTTCCATTCTAGCAGACCAAGTGACCTTGACTGGTAATTTGAGAGGAGACACATAGAGGCTTGTGAGAGACTGAGGGTAAACTTTAGATACAAAAATGCAGATAAAGAGTAATGTTCTGTGAACTTCCCTTTAAGCTCCAAAGCTCATATAGAGCAAACTCTTAAGAACCCCTCATAAGAACATATGCTATGTTTCTCCAGCATAAGCATGCATTTTCAACTGAAGATCTTAGTGAATGTTTTTTCAAAAGGCTTCAAATTGGAGAATCCAATTGCTGTTTCCTGGGAGTGACTCTAAATGTCTTCAAATCTATCTAGGCTTCTGTAAGATAGGTGCCAGTTGATGATTCTGTATTAAGTCAGGACAGTAAACTTACCTTTTCGGAAAATTAGCTTCCTGTTGGATGTCAGGGCACAGACGGTGTGACTGGGGTCACTGTTTTCTTTTTCTGTGTCCTTTTTCATCTCTGAGAAGGATGATTTCTTACAGATATCTTGGATATCTTCATCACTGATGCTTATACCCAGGAATATGCTGATTTCCTTCACAATCTTTGGGAGATTCTGAGATACAGGAAGAATAAAGTGAAGAATAAAGTTTATATATTTCTGAGGTGATAATTAGACTTTCCTTTGACATGGAAATTGTTATTTTCATTAGAATTTCCTCCTTGATATTTTGATTATTTCTATTTATCAACAATTCATTCTAAAACAGGAACAGAGTGCATATTTACCTTTTTCATGTCTTCATAGAACAAAAACAGTATATTTTTGTCATTTTTATGTTCTTCCCAACTTAGGAAATGGTCAAACCAGGATCCACAGACAACTGAAAAGAAAACCCATAGAGATTCATGTATGCTTGATTAATAAATAATTCCGTATCTCACAAATTTTTAGGGGAATGCTTCCTTCTTGGTATGTACCCTATGTTCCTCTAAATCTGATTAAATTCTTTTTTGTGAAGTGATTCAAATTTACAGCCCAAAGAAATTACCATTCCTGTTTGATATTTTTTTTTAATATCAAAGTGACAGATTATTATGGAACATAGTGCCACAGTAGCAATAAATCCAAATCTAGGAACAGGCCTGTAGTGAAGGCAATTGTATGGGCACAACAAGATCTGAGCATCTCAGCAAGTATATCTGTAGATCCATGGTCAAAATAATAATAATAAAAACCTAGGAAAATATACTAGGAAATGAATGTGTTGTAAGTACGACATTTTGTCTCTTAAATGGAGCACACTATTGCTCTAGCAAAGAAGAAATATGTATATTTTCAAAAGTCAAGGAAGAATTGATAGAAAAAATATTTATTATAAAAATACATCAGTCAACCAACCACACAGGTAACTCATAGCTTTATAATTGATGCACAGTACTTGCTTTGTCTGAATGCTCCCTTTAGTGACTAATAGGAAGACAGCTAAATTTCAGCTTTATTTTTACAAAAGCAATTCTGACTCTTCTGGTTCAAAGACAAGGCTGACTGCATTGACGAATGAGCTGAAAGCCTCCTCCAGGATAACGAGCACTTCATGGACAGAGCAATAGTGAACTGTGACCTTGCTTGATACTTTTACCATAAAAGTAAAATATTTAAGTATCGTAAAGGACATCATTTTGTTTGCAAACCTTGAGACGTATTAGGTATTTTGCTGAATGCTTCAGCCTGTAGCCAGAAAACCATCTAATTGCAGAGCACCAGTGCACCACGGTGTGCAATTAAAGCCTGCTAAAGCCCACTGGGAATGTGTTCAACAAATGCACCTGCTTCCCCTTAACCCACATCTGTGCAAGTGCCCAGTCCTAAGAAATGGGCAGGCTTCCAGAGTCAAAGAGTCTACACATAGATTTGGGGTATATCTGCTGCTTTTCTTTCCTGTTTCTATCAGGGTGATAACCTATTTATTAGGACAAATGTCCAAAGAAACTAAGATTGCCTATTTAAAAAAAAAAAAAAAAAAAAAGGAACGATGACTTTTAGGTCCTGTAAGCTCTTAGGTTATAAGACCACTATTGTCTCTATTGTCTCTGCTGTTCTTGATGTTCTTGAGCTATTACTCTGTGGGTTCATGCTATAGGGGTGAGCCATCCGGCCTCCAATACCTGAAACTCAGAGACCCTTTTGACTTTGGGGGTACAGCAAACAGTTTTGGAGACAACATCCCTTTTCTCTGGGTGTCCTCACCATTGTTCTCAACTTAACTCTGTTCTCTCTTAACTCTGCAAGTATACTGCAGGATCCGAGCCAAGCAACACAATCTTTGTATGTTTCAATTAAGAGCAAAAATCACAACCTCTCTCCCAGTATCACCTCTTACGTAAATCTATGTTGTAACCAACATAGTTATCTTTTTGTACCATGCATAAACACACTGAAAACAGCAGAAGACTATTAATTCACAGACAAATGGGAGATGCTTTTAAAATTTTGTGCTATCCTCTTCTTTTTTTAACTAATTGATGTTCAAGGGTGTTACTAAACAAGCAAAGATCCTGCACATCACCGAAGCATGTGTCTTAGGGCTGCTCTGAACAAGGAACACAGGATCCACGAATCAGTGGAAAATACAGACTGACTTCTGGAGCCTTGATATAAGCTGACAAGGACTGCCCTGGCAGTTTGCTTTGATATTTTTCAAGCTCGTCTATCATTGTTGCTGTTATCATCACTGTGGGTAGGAACACGTCCTCAAAGGAGTCATAAAACACTAAAAGTGGGAGTGGATAACCAGAATATAGTCCTGTTGTCAGTTTCCTTACTACTTCTGCCACTTACACAAATCTCACTCATGTCCTTGGTCTTTGGACTCCAGGACTAAGACAACATATCAGGCAGAGTGTGTTCAGAGGTGCATATGAAAGCGTCTAGACTCCCTTTGAAGGGTCACGCAAGACCACTTTCAAGATGAAGGCACTAAGCCTGTAAACTTAGGCTCTCTGAGCAGCCTTGGAGACAACCTTCATATGTGTGCCACCTGCCCTTCTGCAGGACACTAAGCCATATATTGCCCTCTTGGCATCTTCAAACAATGTCTACCCCACCAGTCTGCAGCCACCTGTCAAAATACATCCTTGAAAGGCTGAAGACATTTTCCTATTACTTGCTCATTGTTTAGCATTATAATTTATCGTGGAAAAATAATAAATCTGAAGATGTGTGAATTAGGAGTTCAGCAAGGAGTTTCACAAAATTAATATTTCTTAACTGTTTCTGTTTAGAATAATAATAGAATATTAATAGTAGTAATATGAGCTGAAGGAAGAAAACGGAACACCTATCCTTACCATCTCCTTTTAAGAACAAGTCAAGGAAAACAGTCCAGGTATCTACAGTGGGAAGGTTTGGATTCTCTCGGTAGTAATGATACATGGACACTGCAGTATCTTTTGGATTTCTGCTGATATAGATCATCTGTAAATGAAGACAAAATGGTTATTACTGTTGGATTTGGATTATCCTGAAACTTAGAACTTCTAACATAAAATCTGAAGCCCAGAGCTGATTTTTATGAGCCTCTCACGTACACAGTAAACCACCTCTGGAAACTGTAAGTCATTTTAAAGTGTCTAAGGATCAACAAGACAGAATAGATGCCTAACAGACATTTAATATATCTTACAGCTTTTGTAACTTTTTGACTTACCTTGCATTTTTTATTCTTAAAATGTTGAGGCAACATGTTGTAGTCTAAGTGTGTTGGAATGATTCTCTTTGACGACAGTTGATTCAGTTCCTCCAGTTTGGACATGTCTCCAAGTTCAATGGGAGTTGTTAATGTAACAGGAGTATTGTAAAGCTTTGTTATGACTCCTGCAAGCCAGTGAGTGCCTTCAGGAAATTAGTTTTAAGGAAAAAAAGAAAGAAGAAGAGAAAGGAAGGAAGATTTTTTAATAAGAAAATATATGGAACATGCAGTCTGCATGTGAGAACAGTTTGCTAAACCCCAAGATTCAAGAAACTGTGCAATTGAGTACTCTGTTGGCTCTAGATCCATAAATACTGGAAAAATTGTTGTGGCTGAATTACAAACTCTCTGAAAAGCACTGATATTTGTATCAAAACAAACTCATTAGATAAATGGAATAAAATTCAGACTCCTTGTTAGCTGAGGTGATTATATTATTTCTGGTGTTTATTTTTAAATAATCTGTCTTTTAGGGTTGGAGGGAAGGATTCATTATGGTAACTGTGGCTACTGGGAAGATAACTAATTGAGCTTCCACCCTGGCATGAGTTTCTGCCTGTGAGAGAATTGGGGAGAGAAGGAAGAAGAATCTACAGACAAAAGCCATAAAAATCACTTAATACACCTCTTCTCTTGCTCATAATTAAATGCATAAAGGCCTCAGGAAAATTCTTTGAGTATAGATTTCACTTACAATAAACAAATATTTATTTGCTTCTGAACACATAAAACATCTGACAATATTCTGTATTACAGAACCAACATTTAAACAGTGTTTTTTTTCTTGTCATTGCACTTGCTTTAGTTTGTTGTTTTTGTTTGTTTTTTTTTTTTTAATTTGTTTTGTTATTTCAATACTGACTGAGAGAATAACATACGCACATATTCAAACATCCTTGCCTATTTGTTTATTTTTACAGACATTTCACAAGTATGTTTAGAGAGAACATGAAACGAACTATTGACACATCTTGGAGTTAACATATAGAATTAGAACTTACCAGATTTGGGGTAGGAAACCAAAAGGACATCATCTTCTCTAGCATCAAAAGCATCCAAGGAATTTAAAAGCTCTGGAGAAGACCTGGAGGTAAAGGAAATCCCCTTAAACTTGTGAATGAGTTCTGCCTCACTGAGGTTGGACATGTTTGCTTAAGCCTATGATTCCTGCAAATCAGATAGCAGTGAAATGACGAGAGGGTTTAAGAGTAACCTCTAGGTCAGATGGTTTGAAGTAACAAATTGAGGCCGGCAATACAGACCTCATGCTTATATAGTTTGCTGTGCATATTGAAATCTCTCACAGATATTGATTTTTCAAGTTAACTGATAAAGGCAACTGAAATATTAGAGGTCATTTGATAAATAACAGAAATGCAGCGTCATCAAAAATGCGTGTCGTCATTTATTAGCTTTCCAGAGAAGGAAAAGGAGTGATAGTGAAATTATATTAACTGTGGAAAATGTCAGACTGATCATTTCATGTTGTCATAAAATAGGATCAGTATGATTCAACAACTTATATAAGGGCTGCTCAGAAAGTAATGCCTCCTGTTTTTTGGTATCCCACAACATCAGGAGTGGATGTTGGTGCAATAGCATTACAGGCTGAACCTCCTCACCAGTATCTCTTTACATTTTGTTGCTGTGTGACAAATGGTAGCAGGGGGGCAATCTGACAAAATGGTGTCTGACATGGAAGCCTGTATGAAGCAGAAAGTTGTCACTGAATTCTTCCATGAGAAAAAAAGTGCCACCTACTGCCATTCATTGACACTTGCTGAATGTTTAGGAGACCAACCAGGGGATGTGAGTGCAGTGACGAGGTGGGTGGTGCATTTCAGCAGTGGTGACAGCAGTATTGGGTAACTGCCGCTGGTGCCGGTTTTTATGAATGCAGCATGCAGGCCTTTATTCATCACTGGCAAAAATGTACAGCTATTGGTGATGACAGTGCTGCAAAATAGTGTTTTGTAGCTGAGAATTTGCTGTATCAAATAGTGTTATTGTGCTCTTCATTGTAGTGTCCATGGAAATAAATAGGAGGTAACCTATGTACTGTATTGGAAGCAGTGTCTTGCTTTATGTGAATGAAATACTTTGGGTTCTCATTTTATCATGTATGCGGTGGCCTGTATTTTCAAAACTGTAAGTTGATTCCAAATGCTTCAGAGATGTCAAGGAACTAATTTTCTGAGCATTTCAGAATTTCAGCCTGACCTTAAAAACAGAGGTAATCCTGAGTCACAATCATTTTCTCAGCTGTCATATCTGTAAGAGGAGTGGGTTTTATCTTGTATGTTTTATGACTAGGAATGGGTGAAGTTTTTTAAATCTTTCCACAGAAAATGCAGATTCATCAAAATAAAGGCACTTGCAAGAAAGATGTAGTTCTCAATTCACTGCCCATTATGAACTGTATTTTTTTTTTTAAAGTTTGAATCTGTAGAAATCATTATGAGTGTTTTTCCACCTGAAAGCTCCGTGTTTGTCCAAATTACCTTCAGAAATGTGAATGAATCACATGAAAATAAATGGCTCAAATCTGAATAAATGTATCTTAGGGTGTTTAATATTTCAAATTTCACTTTCACTGCCATACATTAATCTTTTCTGGTGTGATGCCAGGACCTACAGTCTTCAATTTTCTGGATTTCTTTTTGTGGTTTTGTAGTTTGTTTTTCCCTAAGTCTCAAAAATTTCCTGGAATAAGAAAGACAGTTGTAAACTGCCCCTCAATCATCTTTATGTTATTTTCATCAACCATTCTGTGACTTCACTATTTCCATTGAAAATCTCCTACAAGATATCCTGCTGAGGTCCTTCAGTGTATTTAACTGAATTTGAGAACCTGCATGTAAATCTTGGTCTTTTTTTTTTCTTAAACAACAAACCAAACCTTCAGAAATTTCTTGATCCTTGTTTTGTGATAAATAACTGTTTAGGTTTAATCATTGCTGCTGACTGCCATATGTACCGAGGATGAAGTGGAGATGATGGGCATGGCCTTCCAAGGAACACTTGACCCATTGAAATTACAGACAAGGTGTAAGGAATGTTACCAAATTCCGCACATGCTTCTTTCTAATTAAATGTCCAGGGGAAAAAAAAAAAACAACAACCACCAAAAAAACAGAATATGAATGATTCCTTTTTCTTTCTTGGCAGTATTGCCAGCCTACCAGTCAAAGATAAGTCAGCAAGTCAAGAAGCCTATATATTCTCACCTGTTTTACTAAATAAACTGGTCTTAAACAGGTACAGCCTATAAAACATGCTTTGTATCATCAATAAAGCCAATCCTGCACGGCCAGACATGGGTCAGAATCATGTCAGTTATGCTCTGGAGATGTGTGCCCTACCACTAGGGATGAGAAGAGAGACAGGGAAACCTTTCAGGAGGTAATTAATGAATTGGTGGTTGGGACATCTCTAGCTAGGTGCTTTGAATATGTACTCATATTTCTGAGGAAGATGGGCCACTGCATAATGTCCCAGCCCTTTCTACTGGAAAAATGAAAGGCATGAGAAACACATGGACATTGATACTTAGATAGAATTTGAAGGATCTCTCGGTGACAAGCTCAATGTTTTTTCCTTGTTTCTTGATCTGAAGACCTAAGTTACTCCTAGTTCGCACTTTATATGGTCTAAATCTTGAAAATACATTTTCTGTCAATAGATTTCACTGTGGGTAATTCAGTGCACAAAATAATTTTGGAGGCATAATGAATCCTGTTTCTGTGCATTAGTCTGAACTTCTGAAAAATTTCCAAGGTTATTTTGCAGTCATACCTCACATGCAATGAGTGTAGGTTAAGAGACTTATTGCCTTGACCTAGCAAAAATAAGCTCACTGTAAAATATATTACTTATTTACTATGTCTTTTCCCTTTAATTTCTTCATATGTTTTTATTAAGCTCTGAGTCAGCACATTTACCTAATCTAATCACTTGGAGCCTAATTAATCATTCGTAAAGGAAATGACCACGGTGTAAAACAGAAGCAGTACAGTAGCATGGCAAATTCCAATTCTTTTACTTCATCTAAATTGCTTCTTATACTAGCTTCTGTTTTTAAAATCCATGAAAATCCACGGGGAAATCAGTGCTCCTTAACAAATCTTGCCTATGCTTAAAAATAAGGCCTATTCTGGGAAGAGTACTCTCAAAAAGAGAGTACTCAGCACTTTGCAGGATTGCACGCAAACTTCTGCTTTTTATGTTAATGCAACAGAAAGAGAGAGTGGGTTTGAAAAATATGAAACCAAGTTCTCCCTCCAGCTTTCACTGTCTCTTTAGCCTGTATTAAAACACAAAATACAGACTACAGCTGACACGTTTGGAGCCAGATGAACAAGGCATGGCAAGCTAGCACTAAAAACTTCCTGTGTCTGTTGCATAACCTCCACAGACTCTGAATAACTTCTCTTAACTGAGCATTGTTTTTGTCCTGTTCTTTGGCACTGCTGTTGATGAAGATGGAGCACGCATTTTATCAGCAGGGTTTCACAGAGACCTGCTTTCTTTATAGCAGTCTTGAATCTGGAGTTTGAGGAAAATACGGCTTGGTAGGTGAGCACTGCACTCCTGGGCTGCTTCTGCCTCTGTATCAGACTTACTTTATGCCATCTGTATCCTTGTTCTGGTGAGTGACTTCATTCCATTTTCTTGAACAACACAAAAATTGAGCTGCTTCTACCTTGTCACCTTCACATCAAGCTCACCATTCCCTTTCCAGTTTGATAAAAAGCAGCAGCATTTTCATCTCCTTTAATTTCAGATCTCTCTGCTGAGGCTAGTCACAACATCGATCCCCTTCAAATACATCTCAGGTGGTAGTACTGAGGGAAATAAGTGATGTTGTCAAAAATACGCAGGTGAAATCAATTGTGTTGGTTACCTGACCTAAAGCCATGCAATACAATATTGTCATTTTGATGAATGAATGGAGAGGCAGAAGAGACTTTGGAAATCAATGCACTTTGAGTTGTTCCCAGCTGTCAGGTGATGTGACTTAGTCAAAACTACTTCATCCACAGACATTTCATTACTTTGGATTTCCAAATGCAGATCTTCTGCTCAGTATGCTTTCTTGCAGTTCCTGGACTCTTCCATGTGGGCTGAAAAGACCTCTCTTCACTTCTCTGTGGATCAGTGCTAGATACATACTATGATTTCACAGCTTTGATTTCAAAAGTTTGCTATCTGTAACGATTACATCCACGTTTAGGTATAGTATGAAGAGGGTCAATGTGCAGAGTCATATTCTTTTACAGCAGGTCAGATTATAAACTTCCATGACCTCATTAGATCCTTTTCACAACACATCATTGCCCAAGTATATTTTGTGCCAGCTGATACAGCTAATCATAATATTGCAGAGCTGTGCTCTTTGGAGAGGGGCAGGTCTTGTAGGTAAATGTCATGGCTGAGAGGACTGTCACAGAACCATAGAATGGCTTGAGTTGGAAGGTATCTCAAAGATCATCCAGTACCAAATCCTCCACTGTGGGCAGGGTTGCCAACCACTAAATCATGCACTAGATCAGGTTGCCCAGGGCTCCATCCAGTCTCACCTCCAGTACTGGGGCGACCGCAATTTCTCCAGGCAGCCTATACCAGAACCTTACCACACTCAGTTAAAAATTTTCTGATCTCTGAAGTCTTTTAACTTCTAGAATAAAGTTGAATAATCTTATATTACTACTAACTATATCAGAAAAGCTATGATCTAACTGAAATAAAGCATTTTCCCCTTTTTACCTGGATAGAAAATCAGAATCTGATCCAAACAAATGAAACTGACAACTTCTAGAGACTGCTAGGCTAACATTTGCACCAAATTTTTAATTTGTGGATCCACACTAAGATCTCCTAAATATCATTCAGGTCTCTAGGCTTAATATTTCACATTGACTCTGTTTTCTGAGTCACCTTGCCAAAAGATATCAGTTAATGTGATTAAGGTGTACTGTGAGGTGATTTATTAGTTCATTTTTAAAATTCAATTTGACTTAATAGGTTTCACATCTTATCAAGTCATAGCCAGCTTCAGTAACTTCTATTCACAACAATAGCATCTTTATTAACTGTGTAATTTCTTCAAGTGAGCTGTAATCATCCTACTTTTTCAAAATTCTCTT